AACTCATTAATAGCCTGCTTTGTACCAGACAGTACCACCTCTTAGCTTTGGAAGCCTCAGAGTTAGGGCAGTTGATGTTTGGGAATGACCAGTCAAAACAGCAAAATAGATAAGGGCAGGAACATAATTTTTCAAAATTTACACAGGGGCTAGTGGAGCCTGCCTGCAAACAGATCACAGTCTGTTGGAGCCATAAAGTAATAACTGCATTGGAAACATGTCTGCTCTCAACCTTCTCAAACTCAGAATTTTTGCTGGCACTGTTCTTTTTGAATCTCTGTTCTGAATTGTTTATTCTTTTTTTTTGTAAGGAGAAAGAAAGAAAAAAATGCTCCTTAAGAATTCATTCGAAATTAAAATCTATCTCAACATTTCGTATTCTTTAGCCAGTGGTACAAACTGATTTGAAAGGACAGGGCTTAATTTGATCAGCCCCAGGAAAGAAGGACAGACAGTAGTCACAGAGAGTAGTCCTAGCCAACACATCTTCGCCATAGTGGAGAAATGGTGTTGCTTTAATTGTAATTCTTTCATTCCCTTCTTTGCCAAGCTCAGTGGCTTCTGTTACAACATGTGGCAACTTCTCCCTAGGAGGCTAACTCAATCCAAGTTACCATAATACTTAGGACTAGCTACAAAGACATTTCTTCCCCTAAACCCATGCCAAATCTAAATCAAACCACCTTCTCCTCCCTGGCCATTTGGACAGATGTAGCTCTTACTTGGAAAAGACAATAAATGCACAGGCCTCGTTTTGTTTTATGCCTGTTTGAACAGATAAATAAGGCACATCATGCCTAGTGTTGCTCTGTGCTTGCTTCCTTCTAGAATAGAATCTGATACTGTGTTCCTTTTAAGAATTGCAACTTAGATTGTTTTAGAAAGAAGAAAGCATATTTTAGGTCCACCTACAATAAGCTGTCTGCTCTGTGCTGTTGGAGGAAAGAGTAACTCTAAAATCACAGGCCTTCAATTGGTGTGGCTTTGAGTCTCTCCTGGATGAGCCTCGAGCCTCAGCCTTGAGATGCCCGAGACAGGCAGGAAGGCTTCTTACCCTTTGCGGCTTGGATTGTCTGCCTGCCAGACAGACAACACTACACAAGTAATGTCAGTATGTTTTCTTTTTAAGGAAGAAAGCCTAGCAAAATAGAAAAAAGATTCCTGATAAGCAATTTTTTCTTGTAAACCTGGTGATTTTTCCCTTAGTATTTGATTCACATATCACATGTGTGTTTTTATTGATCCTTGTTAAAGTAATTATATTCCATGACCTACTTTATTCATATACATTAATTTTTTGTATTTTCAGCAAGGTTTATTTTCCTTCACTGCTTAGTTACTGTTTTTGGAGTGTAACTTCCAACGTAATTCATTTTTATGGGTTGTATTGCTGTCTTTTCAGTTGTTGGTTATTTGATACATACAAAAGTTTATATGTAACATGTCAGCAAGCTCTAAAGCACAATAAAAAAAATGTGCTAATGAGCCATCACCCCATTTAAGAACTCGGACATTACAAATACCTTTGGATCACTCTCTGTACTTCATTACTGTTGTTCTCTTGCTTCCTCAAGAATCTGAAATTTGTGTTTATAATTCTCTTGATCTTTAAACAAATACATATATATTCTATCACATAAATGTACATTAGTGAAGGTATTTTGAGACAGGTAAAAATGCTGTCCCTGTGTGTGGATTTTGGGCAGCCCATGTTTTTCCTTCCTTTTGTGCTTATAAAATCCATCCCTGTTGTTGGGAGTACAGCTGCAGTTCCTTCATTTACATTGCTGTCCTGTTCTAGTGTGTGTGAATGTACCCTGGTTTATTCATTATCCTGTGGGGGGGAACGGTGGGATAGGGGGAGAAAAACAAGGAGTTCTGTTTTCAGACATGCCGACTTGCGATGCCTGTAAAAACTTCCAGGGGAGACGTTGAGTAGACAGGTGGATATTCAAGCCTTAATTCAGGGGCCAGGTCTGAGATAGAGACACCAGCATGTGGATGGCATCCAAGTCATTATTTTGCCAACTGTTTCTAGAATGCTATTTAGCCGATCAAGATTTTTATTTTAAAAATTACTGTTTTTTATTTCTTAAAGTCCTAGCTTCCTGTTTTGGTTTTTTCCCAGTCTGACTGGTCACTGTATTGCAGTGTGACTTGGGAAAGAATAAATGAGGAGAATACGAGCTTCAAAGAAATAAGGGAAAGTGTTTTACAAACTCTAAAGGGGTGGGTATTACATATATAATAGGTTTAGTATTGTTGTTAGTACCTCTTTCATGAAATTTCCTGAGGTCCAAACGAAACTGTATATTTGAATTTGCCTTGTAAACTAAAAAAATATGTACTTTGTTATTATATTTGATTTTAATACTTTGTTAACATTTATCTAACAGCAAGTATTCACTACTGAACACTTACATGTATTAACTCATCTAATCTTTACAACATCCTGTGACAGGTAGATACTACTTATTTATATTTTACAGATGAGAAACTAAAGCCCATAAGTGGTAGACCCATGATCCAAATCCATGGCATTGACTCCGAAAAGCTATGCTTTAGCTGCTATAAGGAACTGCCCCTCTTTTAAATGACAAGTTTTAACCAGTTCCTTCAGCTTCAAGATTTCAAAAATTTTAGGGTCAGATTTCAGCAAGGATATCTTGAACTCAGCTACAAAGCAGCTCTCTAGGCAGTGGGTCCTGGCAGAGTGCTTTGTGTATACTGACACAGTTTCATCACTAAACCCGGCCTTACATGTCACAGTGCACTGCCCACCTACCAAGTGCTCACTTTGTGCCCATTGAAAATGATGTCTACTTGATTAGAATCTGAGTCTCCTGCCTTTCAAGCATCACATTTTTTGGTGTTAATAAGGCATATTTCTCTAGGGGATTTGGCAGAAATTAGAAAGTGCTTAATTTTGCTGCAGTAAAAATACTAAGAATCCTTTTAAAAGCATGGAAGCCCCAGCCAGGGAAAACACAGTTTTCTCTGAGGCCTTTGACAAACTCACATTGGCACTAGGATTAGGTCATAGGTCATTGGCCTTGATTCCAGCTCCCACAGGGGCTTGCTGAAGGGGTTAAGGCCTCTCTGCTGTGACCACAGGATGAAGCTGGGCCTGGAAATACTCCTGCAAATGAAGCAGGAACGCACACTGTCCTACTCACAGAGCCAGCAGGCCACAGCTGATTGCCATCAGGAGAGTGTGTGATGGGGAAGGTTGCATTCCTGGGACACTGGTTCTACAAGTCAGGACCCAGGGGAATTAGCCCATCGGTCAGAATTGATACCTCTCTGCCTTTCTTGCTGTGTGATGGGTGCTGTGCAGTTAGCTTCCTATATGTGTGAATGTGCCATATTTTCTAAAGCCATGGCAGTCAAGAAAGAGATTTAGGCATCCAGGAGAAGGGAGAAGAAAATCTGAATTATAAACTGAGTTTTCACAGCTGTTCTGATGGCACTCAGATTGAAGCTAGGCTTGGATAACTGTTTAGAAGGGAGGTTATCACAGGAAACCCACAATGCTAAGGTGCACAAGGGCATGCATCATTTTTTTAAATTCTCCATCCACATTGTAACAAATGGCAAGACTCCATTCTTTTTTTAGCTGAATAAAACTCCATTGTATATTGTATATATGTACCATATCTTCTTTATCCACTCATCTACTGTTGGACACTTCGGCTGCTTCCATATCTTGGCTGTTGTAAGTAACACTATAAACACATGAGTGCATGTACCTTTTCAGATTAGAGATTTTGTTTTCTTCAGGTAAACTCCCAGAAGAGGAATTGCTGGGTTGTATGGTATTTCTATTTTCAGTTTTTTTGAGAAAAGTTCATACTGCTTTCCACACAGATAGCACAAATTTACATTGCTACCAGCAGTATAGGAGGGTTCCCTTTTCTCCACATCCTCACCAGCACTTGTTATTTCTTGTCTTGTTGCTAATTAGCCATTCTGACAGGTGTGAGGTGATACCTCATTGTGGTTTTGATGTACATTTCCCTGATGATTACTGATGTTGAGCATCTTCTCATGTGTCTGCTGGCCATCTCTCTGTATGTTTTCTTTGGAAAAATGTCCTCTGCCCATTTTTTAATCGAATTACTTGTTTTCTTGGTGTTAAGTTAAATGAGTGCAGCCTTTTAGGCCTGGGACTGTTGGTTATGGGTTGTGTGAGCTCGGGCGAGTCCTCCTCTGTCCTTTGTTGGTGGTAACGCCCATGGTAGGACGTGCTGTGTGAGGAAGAGCACATTGGATGCTGGCCCCTGGAGATGAGAGGGCTCACGAGAATCCTCATAGGATACCACCTGCCTTCCTAGCTAGCAGGTCTGAGGTCGTCCTCTGCCCTTAGTGACCCTGCTTATTACTGGTAAATGATTTCTTTATTGAGAGGTGCACTTTTACTAGAAGCTGCGTTTTTATATGGGTGGTAAAAATGAGATTTTCTTGAGAACTAGTTCTTCTTTACATAAATATATCCAAAGTTAAAATTGGGGCTTTGTGTTTCTAAGACATGTTGAATGAATAAAAAGGGAAGAAATAATGAACCTTTATCCCCTTATCACAATTCTTAAACTGTCTGCTTACAGAAACATAGCTCTGTATTTACACACATTAACTTTAAAGGTGAGTAAACAGAACTACTTGCTTAGTGGCTGTTGTATAGATAAAATGTGGAAGATCGAGAAGTGAATTATTCCTCATTTATATGCCTCTATATCATAAATAACGATTTTAATTTAATGTTAAAAGATTGCTTGGAGTTGTCTTGAAATTTAATGAGGTGATAGTCACAAAGAATTCAAAGTTGTATGAATGAAGAATGTGATGGATGGAACTGTGAAAGTGTTCCTTCCATTTACCCAAACCAGTGTAGTGGCTGTTGTAGCGTTCCGTTCCTTCCCTTGTCCCCTTCCTTCTCTTACTACTTCTGTCTTATCCCTTCCCTCCTTTGACTCCTTTTCCTCTTGCCGTCCACCCCGCAGTGTTTATACAAGGACAACACAGACACAAATCCTGCCCTCGTGGAACTTGGAGGCCAGTGGAAGGAGCAGGCCGCATGATTCTCCCACGATGGCAGGTTACGTGCTGCGAGGGAAAAGCACACACAGGAGAGGATCTCAGTAAGCCTGCTGTGGCAACTCTGTATGTGCAGCCAGAAACTGAGGCCAATGACAGAGCTCTTCTGCTGTTACCTCTTAGAGGATAGATTTCTAAGCATTTGGTTTTTAAAGGCTATCTGTATAGAAGCACTCTTGGAGATTAGTATTTTAAGTTCTTTTTCATGTAGGCAAAGAATAGATAGAAAGTTTTTCCTAACCAGTGCAAATGACGGTCTGTGAAAACTAATTTCCCACATGTACCTTTTAGGATTGGATGAAAACTGTTGGTTGAATTGTGATAAACCGGAGAAGAAAACTTTAATTTTTTTCAAATACAGTTGGATTAAGATATATATATTGTCTACCATTTTCAGAAGAGGAATTGGCAAAGGGAGAGCTAATTTCTGTGCGATTAAGGAAAGCTCCTAAAGAAAACTCGTGGAAAATCCCCATCAGTGTTCTTAGACTGAAAATGGGTCAGGTCTGCTGCTTATACGAGACTCAGCGGGCAGAGCCTGTGGAGGCAAGGAGGGCCTCCATCCCTGCTGAGGACGGCCACCTGGACAGCAAGTTGGCTAAACTTAACTTCTGAACATGGGTACCTCTGCATGTATGCTGGGCCCTGCACGGCACCGCACACTTCCTGTTTCCTGTCACTTGCATAGAAGGCTACGGAACACAGGCTTTTCCCAATCCTCACCCCTAAAGCAAACAAAAACTATGCCTCCAGTTCAGGTAATCTAAATCAGCAGATCTGTCTTGAAGTTCCCTGGGCACAAACCTTGTCTCTTCTTTGGTCCTGATGACTAAAAGCAGCTAGGATTTTTTAATTGACTAGTTTTTAAGTATTTCCAAACAGAGGAGAAAATTAGATCAGAAATCTAGTAAAGTTGAAAATTATCTTTAAAACTACCTTTTCTCACTAGAAGTAGAACACTAGGTTATTGAAAGCTTGTTCACGTTTGTGATTGATCCTGTGTTTAAGTAGTTTTAAAGTAAGTAACTCATTTTACTGCTAACAGCTCACTTCACTGTCTGTATTATTACCACCATCATTTCTGTGAGGTTCTAGGTCTTTTGTGAACAAATTAAATACAGTGCTTTCTTTATGACATGAATTAAATCTAGATCCCAATGATATTTGGCATCTTCTAAATACCCAGATGGGCACAGCGTTTGCCTTGAAGCGAAGACGTGCACAGGGTTTTAATCACATCATGTTTTATTTTTTCTCTTTTAAATATCGCCTTTTCAGCAGTTGCTTCTTAATGAATGACTGATTGTTTACTGAGGTTTATAACCAAGTATTTTAAAAAATTCTAATCAAGATTCAGATGGAAAAAATTTTCCTCCTCATTCCCTCATCCCTTACATTAGAATAAAAGTAAATTGTCTTTCTTTTGGAAACCTAATAGTTTGAGAAGTCCCATCATTCTCTTCCTGAAAACTTAATTTTAATAAATCAGTTCAGAGGAAATTTAACTACAGTTGTTAAAACAAAAATATCTTATAAAATAAAAACAAGGTAGGGCTAAAGTAAGTTTCACCTCTTGAGTATGACTGCCATGTGAAAGAAAATGTAGTTAAAAAATAAATTTTGCTGTGTCTTCCCCATGACTTCATCACTTGGACATACTTGACTTTTTTTAAACAGCAGAGTTGGGTAAAAACAACTGGTGTCCAAAGACCAAATTCCAAAACAGGCCTCAGATACCTGGAGACACGAGGGGTGTATTCTTTTGCAGGGGTCTTAAATGACAGTTTTGTGTCCAAATTTTACCCTGTTTTATCTTTGAAAGTAATAACAGTTTCTCAATAGCAGGTTAGTCTCTTGATACAAGATTGACCCAGTGACCCCCAAGAAGTTATGCTTTGGGAGTGCTCATTTAATTAAGAGAAACAGAGCTGATAAAAGGGACCAGGTAACTCAGAAATGTTCTTTCTGTTGAACTTTTCCAGAAGAAGCACGTTAAGTCATGGAGCAGGTGTTGCCGTTACACACAGACACACACACACACACCCTCCTCAAAGGCAACCCTAGTTTCCCAGCTTTAGCTATCCCAAAGGACCCTCAGCACTGTGGGTTCAGGGTAGGGTCTGGGTTTAGTGAAAATTTTTAATGCTCCCAGGGCAGAGAGCTGACCTTAGGGCCAACATATGGCCACAGAAAGCTGTTACCTGTTCCATGAGAGCAGTGGGATGATGCTTCCAGGTCCTGCCTGCAGATTGCCCAATGAGTCTATAGTCAGTGCTGCATTCATAATAGAAATAAATGCTCTGATACTCAACATTGCTAAATATAATTTATAATTTTGATCTAACTTTGAAACATGAACGATCATGCTTTTCACACTGCTTTAATGACTTACACAGACAATTTATTCTAGATAATGGGGAGTTAAACCTGTCAGCATCTGAATATTTTTCACCCATTTGTTCAAATACCTGCATTTGGGTGCTAATGTGCATGTTTAATTGCTTGAACCTAAATTATAAAACCCCTAAAAGGATGCTTTTATCCTAGAGACTCCTCTCATAAGCTCCTTGCATTTCCCAGGATTTATGTGCCAGCCCCTCTTAGAAGAGGTCTGCTTTAAAATACAGGAAGTTGAGCTCTTCAGGGAAAGTGTAGATAGCCGAATCATCAGCAGAATCACTACAGGCATTCCATGAGAAGTCTGTTCTGTCAGAACCAAGTTTAATCCAGGAGCTATTGTTTACCCAGGTTTCTTGACGGTGATGATGAGCATGGTCAGAAGGCTGTTAGTAGCTGCCCAGAGAGACTGCCTCTTTTTAAAGCTCCAATCATTCAAATCTGGTCATGCCTTACTTTCTGCAGCCACAGAAGAGAGCAGAATGAGATTAAAATGGCCCTGCAACAGAGCAGGGTGCTCTTGGCTTGCACTTTGTTGTTTGTTCCTCCAGTGGTTCCTAGCTGTTGTGACGTCAAGGCTGCCATACAGGGCAGAAAAAAAGGAAACCTTGCCTTCTCTTTGCATCAGTAGCCTGGACAAGCTCTTGTTTCCCAGGCATCCAAAATGCTCTCTGTCTGGCAGAGCTGTGCATTCCATGCCTGGGTGACCTGGTTAAATGGAGGAAACCAAATATTCTCCGCTGAATGCTCTCCAAAACAAGCATTCCACCCTGAGCTTCTGAAGTATAGGCTTCACTGCTCCTGAGGGCTGTAAATGGAGCTGTTGCATTGCTCTACATTATCTGCTGGCGTATTCAGCCTCTGTTTAGAGGCTTAAAAGAGAGAGAATCATTATCAACAGTCTTCATTAATATACACTGCAACAACATCATTATGCTGCCTTTTGGGGTCAGTGCTATAGAATTCTTTTTGGAAAACAAGTCCTGTGTTAAAAATCGTTTGAGTCATGGAAGTTCACAACTGCCACCTCTTCCTTCCCATTCCATTTCTGCCCACCTCATTCCCCAATTTCAGATTTCTGAATTTTAGAAAGGTTCTAGGAAGTAATATATACTTACCTATTAATTTTGCACTCTGCATTATTAAGCTTGCATATCTTTTGCATATATATGAAAAAGAATCTCACTGTAATATGTAGGTCACAGACTCTGGATTTTTCTTACCAAAGAGTAACACCTTTTGTTTATCAGAGGGAAGGAACTATTTCAAAGTATCACAGAACTGCTGTCTCTTCAGGAACAAGCCAAGATCCCTACGGCAAACAGCAGTCTTGCAAGGCCAGAAACTCACTGATAATGTTCTGGTTGCTTACAGTGAATGCCTCAGAATTTACCAATTAAGACTCAGTCTTCTGAGGGTGTGCCTTCTTGGGTTTCTTCCTGGCATGAGAGAGAGCATTATTTTATTAGATTCTTGGAGGTGGACGATATAGTCATTAGAAAAAGCACAACCGCCACATGTTGTATTCTAAAGTTGTCTTGGTTAAATCAATATGCATTAGAGGTTTTATGTTACAAATCCATTAAATCTTTCTCAAAATAGCCCTCCTCTGAACCTTTGATTGAAGGATATTTGTAGAAACCAAAACCATTTAATTTTATACACAGATGTATATACATGCAGGAAGGATCTTAACACAGCAGGCCCTTTTTGAAGTGAATTATTACAGGACAAAATTCTTCCATATTACTAACTCTTGTCTTCCAAAAAAAAAAAAGATCCTCAGGTAACTGGATAGAGATGGAATAGATGGAGTGAATCTTGAAAGGAGATTTTACAACAAGGATTTACTGGACTGCAGTCTAGTTTTGCCTGGACAGACTTGCCCAAGGACTAGCCTACTGCCATATGAATGCCATATCTATGCCATTGTAGTTGCCAGAATGGGAATAGGGCACATGGAGCTCTTTAGCATGGCTTCTTCGTGGGTGCTTTGGACCATGTGATGCTGAGAATCTTGAAATGAGAGGAAGAACTGGGACATTACTTTCCATTTGTAAACTGGAGAATTAGTCATTTTTGTTGTTGGCTACTATTTACATAACAGCCATCCTTTTATTTATTTTTCCTATTAATACCATTTCAGTAGGTCCTTATTATCTGTAGATAACTGGTACCAGAAAACTGCTACTTTAAGAGAATCAAATTAAAACTGAATCAAACATTTAAAACAAACATTATGAGGATTAATTCTTGAAAAGTTAAAAAAAAAGTTAAATCTAAGCTTGTTTTACATTACATAACAGAAATTTGGGACATGATACAACAATATATTATTTCTTAAAACAAAGATGGAATGTCAGCCTTTGTGGCAGAATCATGAAGAGGGTGATTTTGGTTGATATAGGCATTCAAATTTTCCCAAGAGCTACTCTTAATCTTTGTATGTAGACTCTCATGAAGTCATCTGCTGGCTGCTGCTTCCTCAATCATTTAATATTCAAATTCTCTTTGATCCTTATTTGTCAATGACGGTGGGTAACTTAAGCAATTCTCTAGTGTCACTTTCATCAACTTTATGTAAAACCGGCAAGTTCATGTTACAAGTGGACTATATTGTATGTGCATTTTTATTCCATGATACTGACCAAGAAAGTGAGCAGGAATAGATGCTTATGTTAACGAGGATGAAACAAACGTTAAGTGATCACTTTATCTGCCAGTATTTTTATATTATGATGACCTGTGTGTCCTTACCTGTGTAACCTGGTAACTGAAGGACTCAGAGAATGATTATGCAAGTAATTAGAACTCCCCCCACCCCATATTGTGTTACATTTAAGGCAATCAATATGGTTTAGTGGGCTTTATCATAAACCACATATAGATTTGTATGTCATTCCTTGGCACTTAACTAAGTTATATAACCTTGAGTAAGTTACTCAAAGAACTTCAGACTTCATTACTCTGCAGAGGAATAAAACCAGCCTTGCCAAGTGGTCATGGGAATTAGAGCCCATGTGTATAAAACTCCTGGATAATACGTAGTGCAGCTCAGGAAATGATGCCTGTTTGGTTGCTATTGCATTTCTGTGGTACCTTAGACTTTTTTTATTATTATTAAGATATCATTGATATACAATCCTGTGAGGGTTTCACATGAGCAACATTGTGGTCACTACATTCACCCATATTATCGAGTCCCCGCCACCTCCCCAACCACAGTCGCATTGTCCATCAGCACAGTAAGATTGTGGTACTTTAGACTTTATATGAGACTTTCATGTTTAATTCAGGCTGAAGAACTTAAATTTTAGCAGTCACTAAATATTTTTAAGGTATGCAGTGACCTGAGGAAACTAAATTTCAGATTGTATTTGATTGACTGTGTACATCACGGATCACATCGCATAGTTTGATGGCCACTTTATGGTACAGATGAAAACACTGAGCAAGGAAATTACCTAACATTCCCAGGGTCACATGGTTTGTATCTGGCAGAGGTGAACCCAGAACCCAGTCTTCACTGTGTTTTCCACAGCATAGTTGTGAAGTGAGCCAATTAAAAAGGCCATCATACTTGTCCGGTGTGTTTCCCAGGAGTGGGAATGGGAGGAAAAGGACAGAGGCAGGGCTGCCGAGAGCAGGTGCTGGTTCCACTCGGCTCCATGAAAAACCGGGTCAAGGATCCAAACATGTAAGCCTGGTCAGATGGCCATACAGTTAAACTAAAATAGGTAGAATTGGTTGATTTTGTTGTTCTCTGAAGAGTTTAAAGGGGATGTCCAGGTGGAAATATATAAGATTAAAGGGAGGGGAAGATATTAGTGCTCAAGAAATAAATATAAGACTCCTGCTGAAAAAGGAACCTTGAAAGCACTGTAGGGTATGTAAGTACATGCCACCTTATATACTTATATAATAAGTGTATGCGTGTTTGTGTGTTTTAAACTGGACTTTGCGGCATATTCCCCATTCAGGATGAGCGGTGTTACAGCTTACTACCCAGTTATTATCACAAACTGTTACACCTTCATCAGAGAGAAGAGCTGTTCCCATAGATTCTTCGTGTCTGTGTGTGTTTTGTTGGATGGATCCTGCTGTGGCACTGAGAGACAGACTCTGCTGGGCCCTGTTTTGTAAACAAATCTGTTCACACACACTTTCTTCCATCGTTGTATGTGTACACTGGCTCTGCTTTTCCCGCCAGACACAAGGAAGCCCTAGAGGTGGAGAAGCCTGTTTTCCTTTAGAAGTATGCAGGTATCAAAGAAAAATGCACATCTACCTTGTATAAGTGTTTGAATCCTCACAGTTTTAACTCTGGGCCATGAATTCTGCAAGTACATGGTAGCCCAGTACACACACAGTGCCCCTGGGAGGCATCCTGAAAGATGCCACACAATTCTGTGTTGAGCTCAGTAAATAAAGCAAGCTCTTTTTACCCCTGAAGTGCATTCTGTGGGCCATAAGCGGGTCTTGTCACCCAAGGTGATAAAGCAGAACTCTGCTTTTTCCAATAAGGGGTGATTCATCCCTTTCTTAGATTGGAATATGAACCTATAACAATATATATCCATATAGTCACTTCCTACCTATGGTTTTTTGAGTGTTTTATTTAATATTCTAGCCAAGTTCAAGTTTTTATGACAGGAAGCATGTGAATGGTTATGACAGGAGTAAATAACATTTGATTTTATGATTACAGTACAGGAAGTAACTTTTCATGCCAAATAAATCTTTGGGGGGAAAAAAAGTGCCGGCTTATAAATTTAACGTACATAAATTTCCGAGAATCTTTGTTCTCTTAAGAAGAAATAAAATCAGAATATGGTCTTAACTTCTTCCTCTTCTTAACTTTTTTTGTCAACAAATGTCTGTTTTAAGAAGAGGCACTTTCAAGGTATTTTGGTGTGACCCAACATGATACGGAACCATTAAAAAAAATTCTAAGTGAAAATAGTAAGGCCAAACTTTATGGAATAAATAGCATGAAAGGCTTGAACACTTTAAATAGGAAATTACTTTTTCTTTAAGAGTAAATAGCCAAATCATTATTCACCACTGAAGCTGAGGTGCCCTCCCCCGCAACCTGCAACTCCCAGTTGCTCTTGTGGCTCTGTACAGTTAAGTACGTGGGAAAGACAATTTGTTTAACATCAGAGCATCTGCATATAAGCACATTTAAAGAAAAAAGAATTGGGTAGAACTTCAGTTACGTTCGTTCTAGGCAACCAGCAGAACTTTAATAGAGGCATTGTTTTTCCCTCACTTAAAAAATATAATAATGGAAGAAAAAATTTTTTTCCTGATTTTTGTTTTCTTTTAAATCCTGAGGAACTTGCAGTGAGAAGGAAATTTATAACTGACACTCATCTGAGGACGAATATTACACATGCATGCATCACATGAATGGATGCCTGACAGATTAAAACACCCTAGAAGTCTGTCACAGTCTACATGAAAAAGCACCGATGGCCTCAGTGGGGCTGGGCTGCAGTGGTACAGCTGGGAGTTACAGGATGGAAGTTCACATGTTCACTGTAAGCCTCACTCAACCCACACTGATGAAAAACATGATCTCTAAATCTCTTCTACCTCTAAAATTCAGTATTACAGGTTTTGCAAAGAACCTAGTTCTGCAGAGAATGTATTTGCATATGGCATGATTAAAAATCTGCCTCATAGTGTAATTCTCAAGGCAGTTTTGTAAGTCCTATTTTACTAACAGACAAAGGAAGGCTCCATGGCAGAGTGCTCAGGGTCAAGCCCCTGGCTTTCAATCCTGGCTCTGCTACCTACTGATTCCATGACCCTGGAGAAGCCCTTAAACTTCTTGGGGCTCAGTTCCCATATCTGTAGGATGGTGATAATGATAGAATTTAGCTTGGAGGGTGTTGGGGGCTGTTGGTAGTGGCTAGGCCAGCCCTGAATGTTGGTTTGCCCTTCTCACTGGGGAGTAAACCAGCTTGGGTGACTGTAGCAGGGCGCAGCGTAGCCAAAGGAAGAGCCGGGACTCCACTCCCAACACAAGGCCACCCGACTTCCCGAGGGCTGCTGCCCTTGCCGTGTGAGGCCACTCCTCCTCCCCTCATAAAGTGCCGCTAAAGACTGTGCTCCTTTCCTCTGTCCAAAAGAAACCCTTGAGTAAACATTAAACATGAAGAACAGACGCAGGCTTTTATTTTGTTGGAGGGAGTGGGCCCAGAGGTCTAGAGAGCAAACACTGATTCTACAAACTTGGGCTCTCATCATGTCCACAGTGAAGCTGATCACAGCAGAATCTGGGTATTCTCTACCATTTAATCACAGTCTAGATGCCCTACCTTAGAAATAAACCCGCATTACCCGCCAGCCCGCGATTAGCAGGAGTTCCTAAAGGGTGGCAGCTTCTTGGCAGCAGCCACGTCTGTTTGATTCATGTTTTCTGTGCTTTTCCCCCAAGCATGTATTTCATGATCTTTATTTTATTTTGCTCTACTTTCCCTTTCTTTTTAAAAAGCTTGGAATTTAAAAAGCCAGTACTTAAAGAGGACCTCTCTTATGAAGCACAGTCTGAAATGGGAACAAACTGCACAGAAGCTGAGAGATCTGAGGCATGTGTGTGAACTTGACACAGTCGGAGGGGGAAGTTTCCTTTTTAGTAGGTGAAGAAATTAGATATTCTAGTATTTGAGTAGTTGTCAGGCCTCTATAATCATTGTTTTGTCTTTCACCAAGTTCAGGATCAATAGGATTTTTTTTTTAATTGTAAAAAGCTAAAATTGCTCTCTCTGTAAAGGGTTTCTGTTCTTTTGACAGAATGGCAAGCTGTACAGAACATTCCCTCTTTCCATTGAGAACGCTCATAAGGTATGGGGAGTGAGGGCAGAGGGGTGACTGTCATGTCGTGTGGTGGGTTTGAATTAAACTCATAATGCTAGCTTTCAATCCCACTTTCACTTGTCCTTAATTTTAAGATTATATTCATATCATGCAAAAGGTTTCCATACTCTTTTTAAAATACCAGTTTGGTACAGAGTATAAAACCATACCTCAGTAAAAATTTCCTAGAGTATAAAGCACAGATGGTTTTATTACATTTACATTTTTTAGACGTATTCATTTTTGAGTACTCAAAAATGAGAAATAGAGGAGTTGGGGTCTGAGTGGCAGAGTATTAACCATGTTAGAAATTGAGGGCTTAAAGTGCTGTGTAACAAATAACATGTATGCATTTGATTGATTGGTTTTCATTCTTCCATTCCCATTAAGTGGAAGCTTGTATTTTTCTCCTCCCACCTTCATGAGCACCCCTCACCAGCATTCCCACCGGAGACAAGCACATTAACAGCCTGAAAATCAAGGACAGGCTGTTTTTTGAGCCAAATGTTTATAGACCCTTCAGAAAACGAGCTTTGTCCCCATTGATATTCTTTAAGGTGGGATGAAAGCCCAGTTACCGGGAAATTCTACTCTTCTCTGGTAAAAATAATCAGGTTTGGCTAAAGCTAGGAGAAATACAGAAGGTCATATTTCAGCCCTTCATGGACAGTTTTCAAAGGGTGCTCTCGTGTGAAAGCCATGTGGCCACTCTGTTACTGGGAGAGGGTCTTAAATTTAAGTGTATTTCTGCCCCGTCACGGACAAATCCAAACAAGTCCATTCTCACAAACCCTGGCTATGGCCCCCAGAAGCTGTGTTTTTGGTGTCTCGGTGCCCAGAAGGAAAGATGATTTCCATAGTTGAAATTTGGGGACAAATGAAAATAGCTCTTTCTCTTTCCTTGAAGGGTTAATGCTCTAACCAGCTTTCAGATTGGTTCATTTGAATCTTCAAATTACTTTTCTGGTCACGCGCACTGAAGGTCTAAGCATTTGTGAAATGTCTTTTTTCTACTTCTCCCAACACTGTTCTCTTTGGGCTGTGTTAATTACACGGGTTGAGAAACCAAATTAAAATTAGGTGTGGCTGGTAAACAGTGATCACATTACATGCTTTTGGTTTTGCTTGTTGGAGTTATGTATCCTCTCTGTGTGGCTTCCCCCTCCCCCTTTTGTTTTTCAAGGGAAATATCATAAGCTCTTTCAGAAATACTCATAGGAAGTGAGTATCCATATGCTGGTTACTCGCCAGAAACTGAGTGTTGACAGGTGGAGAATGCTGCGGCGCCCTCCCAGATTTCTTTGAACATTTCCACCAGAGCAGAGGATTAAATTCTGGGTGTGGGGACCAAAGGGTTTTTGTATACTGAGGGAGTTATTAGAGGAAATTGGTCATCGCATGTCATCTTGAGGGATGGTGATTCAGGGAGCTGTGATAGGGGTCAGCAAGGCACGTGGCTGCCATCGCTGAGGTTTCTGTTTGCTCCTCAGAGGGCTGGCTGCCTTCTAAAAACTAATGCTCCCTCCACCGCCAGCAATGATTCTTTTGCAATGAATCACTTCCAGAAATGAATAGCCACAGTTTTTTGGAATGAACGTTGTGAAATCCCTGGTTTATAATGGCAGGTTTTCAGTTGGTGGTTTTATCAGAGAAATTTCTCAAGATCAAAACGAAACCTCTTCTTTAAAAAGAAAGAAAGTACTCGATAACAGAAAGCAAAAGTATTTCCAGACTCCTACTGAAGAACTGTCACAGAAGATCTCTGAACCTCCTATATATAGAGATACATGTCCATATCTTTGCCTGAATGTGTGAGTTCTTGGAATTCTGGATTCATTGCCGGTAGCTGGTGATTTCCTATGCAGAAGGTTGCTAACTACAAGAAATATTATATGCGGTGAGTAGGTGGTAGATTCCTATGGTTATTGCTAAACCAGTGTTCATAGTCTTGAGTCATGGATTCAAAGGACTGATAGCACGCTCTTAAATACTTCTGCCTTATATGATTTAATGGATGGAGCTACAGGATTCACAGAAGCCTGTGAAGGGTTTTTCAGAACATGGATTAATTTAAAATCAGTAATGTTTTGAATATACTAGTCATTTTTAGGAGGAAAGGTTTTTTTACAGAAGGAAGAGATTTGTGGGGGGGCTTTTAAAGGTATGATTACTGCTCTTTTATGTTAATTTTAGTATCACGTCATCTTCTTACGTGGAAGAAATAAATGACTACATGGTCTCAACAGAAAAACTTAAGCCAACTCTCTTTAGATGAGGAAGCTTCATCCACATGTTACTCCTAACCAGATTGTTTTTCCCTCCTAAATATTCACAAGGAGAAGCTGCCCCATGAAGAAGACAAACCTCCTGGCAGTAGCTGTGATTTGTCTCACTCATAGATTTTTATCCAGGGGGCAAAGAGAGAGGAATGTGTTACTGGAAATAATGAGTGCAGTTTAAGGAATTGTTCTCTCTTCAGAGTGGATAAGTTGACCTACTGACTCATTTCACAGGAATTGGGAAAACAACCCAGTGTGGTTTCCATTGTTAGTCCTGGAGGAATCCAAAATGTGTGTGTCTGCACATAAGATGAGGTGGAGAAAGGTAGTGTTGCCACTTGCTCTTTGTGCTTGCCTCTTCTCCCGATGGAATCCAGTCCCGTCCTCTTAGGTCAAGTCCAGCCTGCGCGTGGGGACCCTTCATGTGACTGTTTGCTGGTGAGTGTGGATGACAGCCATTTCTGGTTTTCACTAGTTCTTGCTTTTAAATTTTTTTAATGGCATTTTGCCAAAGGAAAAGCTTTTAAGAACATTTTTTTCCTGGCAGATTTTACTACATGTCATATTTACCTGTAGAAAATACTCTGGATGTGGTAATAATTATAAAAGATTATAATGACAACAATGGAAGTTAAAAGTTAAGATACTTTTGGTGGATAGATTTTAGCATATTGACATGACAGCAATTTTGATTTTGTCTTATATTAAATGATTTTTGTAGTGTTATCGGAAGATAGTATATTCTAGGAAAAATAATATAATTACTAATAGCTAATGCCAGGCATTATGTTTTTGGCTAGTAATATAATGTTTATATGCAGAGAAACTTGATTCACAGTGTTCTAGTTTGAAACCAATTTATCAGATGAGCTAAAGGTAATCAAAAGAGGATAAGGAAGGTATATTGAACTTGGATGAAAGCAGAAGCAGATATTTGAAGTGATTGATATTCACATTGTTAGATTATTGCCTCTATATGATTTCAAATATGCTGGATCTCCCAAAACACCTTCAAGTTATATTCTTCATTAA